ATGAAGCTAATTCTGAACATTATCAAGTAAATTTCATAACTAGATTTTCACAACAAACCACACAGATTATTATTCACTACGAATATGATGTTTTGGGAAGAAAATAGGATGCTATTGTTGCCTTAATTCGCCAGAACAAACGGTTTCAAGGAACGAAAATGGTATTCAGCTATGTGAAGGTCATTTTTCAAAGACAGTGTGTATGCATTGTAATGACGTGGTTGCCACTGTTATTAGGTAATTAATTTCATGTATACTTAACTTCAATATATTTTTCTGTATTGCATATAATATTTTATTTGTCAAACAGGTATAACGTTAATATACAAATCAGAGATTCCAGTGGTAATATGCATATTAATTTACAAGACAGACATGCACGATTTGTATTTGGTTGTGATGCTTCTTATCTCAGGGCATTACAAAGGAAGGTAGAATTTCTTAATATATGTTTATTTTTTATAGTACTATTTATAAATTATGTAAAAAAATACACTAATTTCGTACGTTGTTAATTATCAGGAAAATAATGATAGGTTATTCGGCCAACGAATTAATTCATGCATAGATCGTGCATTTTCATTTGTAGTACGCACTCCACAAAATTCAACAGAGTTAATTAAATCACCAATTTTGGCTTTCGTACTAAAAGTGGATTGGTGTGAAGAGTGTTCGCACCTTCAAGGAAGATTATCAAATCGAATGCTTAGTATTTGTAAGTATTTCATTTTAACCACATTCAATTACATTCATTTGTAGAAATATATCATTCCCTTTTTTAATATAGATTTTATTTTTTTTTTCAGGATCCATCTTTCGAGAAAAGACAGTTCTTGAATGATATACACATTCTATTCTATTTTAAACTATTGTTAAATAGATATTACATTTAAATTTTGTTGGTTCAATTTTTTCACCTTTATTTGTTTATCATTTTATTTTTTTCAATAATATTAGCACCGAGCGTAGCACGGGTATTCACACTAGTTATAAACAAATGATCGGAGGACACGAGAGGCCCCGGAGCTGCAGGAAGTAAATAGTTCTCAAGCTCGCTCTGTCGAAGTAATGGGCTTAATCAGGGCTGGCAACAGAGTCTTGAGCAAACCGTTTCAATATTTGTTTGGCAGACAAGTTTTTTGCCAAGTTTATCTGCTACAAGTTTTTTAAAAACTTTAACTACAGTAACCTCAAAAAATTTTTCTAGGTTTTTAAACTATACACTTCAAAATATTTAAAAAAAAACACTTCAAAATTTTTTTTTAAAAACTTCTACAGTAAGCTATAGTAAAGTTTTAGACAAACACCCAAAAAACTCACTTGCCAAACGGGGGTTGGCACCATTATTCCCCGTCCGTGCTCCTACATGGTCTAAATCTGTTGGGATCGCTATTTTTAGAAATTTATGCAATAAAATATATTATAACGATTTTGATATATATGAGATTAAAAATTATGCTCACGAAAAATGTAAAAATTTTTCTGTGAAAAATTACAATCCAAACAATTCGTTTGGATTAACTATTTTTGGATAGGGGTGGCAATGGGGTGGGGAATCCTTCTCCCGTCCCCCGCCCGTTGTCAAATAACTCCATTCGTCCCCCGTCCCCCGCCCCTTGCCCCCCACCCCTCGCCCCGCCCCTGCTCCATTTCCCTCGCGGTCCCCCGCGAGGAAAAATTAGAAACTTTCAGCTATTAATTCCAAGCTAAAATTAGAAACATGAGTTTACAATATCTATGATCATACCAGTGTAACATGATTTCTTATCCAGGTATCAATGAGTATCCAGTAACATAATGCACACTAAAGCATGTAACAAGGAAGAAATATTACCTGTAACTCACCCCGTCCAAGTAATGGCTTCAATAAATTGGAAATATCAAGACTAGATCCCTTATTGCCTCATCCTACTGTCCCAGAACCAATAAGTGTGTGGACCTCATCAATAAAAACAATGACATTGTCTGCAATGCTGTCACAACAAGTTAAACCACAGTGGACGACTTACTTCAAATGCACCAAAAAGAAATGGGCACACCTGACTTTTTGATGTCCTTAAGTAATGTAGTCACATGTCCTTCCAGTTCACCTCTCTCCTTTGCGCCTGCGATTAATTGAATAGTGATTAGAATTGAGGGGAATGGGAGGCGACGGCGGTGGCTGCGAAGGAGGGAACAAAGGAGGAACTGCGGGGGATAATAAGGGGTTTTGTTACTTTTGTATATATATACATATATATATGTGTGTGTGTATATTTTTTTTTATGCGGGGGACGGGACAGGGGATGGGGCGGGTGTATGTTGCCCCATCCCCCATCCCGTTTTAAGGCGAGGATAAATATTTTGTCCCTGCCCCCGCCCCGCCCCATCCCCTGCCTCATTTCTACCCTCGTGGGGTGGTTGCCCGCGGGCACCCGCCCCCATTGCCATCCCTATTTTTGGAGGTGTTATTCAAATATTTTATTGTAACAATATAGATGAAAATCTTTTACTATAAATGAAGTTGTTTTTTGAGGTTGTTTCTGGTATTTTTGAAGTTATTTTTTTTTGTATTTTTGGTGTTTTTGAGATTATTTTTATTTATGTATTACTATAGTATTATACATTAAAAACGTATTTTTCAAAAAATAATCAATCCAAACCGATCAGTAACTCGTATGGAATGTGAGTTTTTTAGGTGTTTGTATAAAATTTTATTGTAGCTTACTGTAAAAGTTTTTTAAAAAAATTTTGAAATATGTGTTTTTTTTTAATATTTTGAAGTGTATAGTTTAAAAATTTTGAAAAGTTTTTTGAGATTACTGTAACTAAAAATTTTTAAAAACTTATGGGTGTGTTTGGATCCTTGTTTTTGGAGCTGTTTCTGAAAAACAGTTTTTCACATCCCAAATGCTACAGTAAATGTGTATTTCTAAAACAACTTCAAAAATACCATATCCAAACATTATATCAAAAACAACTACATATGTATATTTCAATTATGTATATTATATATATATATTATATTAATATAAATTGAAATATACAAATTGAAAATTATATATATTATATATTATATAAATATTTATATACATTAATATTATACATAATATATTATAATATACATAATATAATATACATAATATGTAATATTGTATACATAAATGTGTAAATATTTATACATAATATATTATGTACATTATATTATAATATATACATTATTAATGTATAATATTATTATGTACATTATTGTGTATAATAATGTCTAATAATGTTAGGTATAATATATAATATACATAATATGTAATAATGTAAAAATGTATATTATGTATAATATATTATATTATATATATATACAATATTATGTATATTATACAAATTGAAAATTATATATTATATATTTATATATTATATATTATATGAATATTTATAAAATGAAATATACAATAAATATTACAAATTGAAATATTATATAAACACCATATTTATAATATTATAATATTTATAATTAATATTAATGTATATTATATATATATATTAAATATTTATATATTTATTTTTACATATTATAAATATTTTACTTTACTTAAAATTTTTTTTACATATTTATAATATATTTATATGAATATTATATATTATATAAATTATATATAATATAATTTATATTTTACATTTATATAAATGTACATTTATACATAATATATATATTAATGTATATTTATAATATACATTTATATTATGTATTATACATAATATAATACATTTATATTAATATACATAATATTAATTTTACATTTATAAATAATATTAATACATTTGTACATTTATATGAATTATATTAATACATTGATACATAATATTAATAAAATTATAATTTATACATTTATATAATATTCATTTGTAATTTATACATTTATAATAATATACACTTTTACATTTATAAATATATTTATAATATGTATTATATGTAATATAATACATTTATATATTTTTATATAAATACATAAATATATTTATTTATAAATATTTATATAAAAAAATATAATTTATAATTTATAATTTATAATTTATACAGTTATGTAATATTCATTTATAATTTATAAATTTACAATAATATACACTTATACATTTATAAATATATTTATATTATGTATTATATGTAATATAATACATTTATAATACATTTATATATTTTTATATAAATACATAAATATATTTATTTATAAGTATTTATAAATGTATTATAAATGCATAAATGTATATTTATATAAAAATTATAACTTATAATTTATACATTTATATAATATTCATTTATAATTTATACATTTATAATAATATACACTTATACATTTATTAATATATTTATATTATGTATTATATATAATATAATACATTTATATATTTTTTAGCGAATATATAAATATATTTATTTATAAATATTTATAAATGTATTATAAATGCATAAATTTATATAAAAATAAAATTATATAAATTATAAATTATAAAAATACCCAAAATATGTTTTAAAAATATCTCTAAAAATAATCCAAAAAACATCTATAGTAAAAGTTTTTCATATAGTTTTTGAAAAACAATCTCAAAAACAACTAATCCAAACGGACTTGTATTTCAAAAACGAAATGCTACAGTGCTGTTTTTGAAAAACAACCCAAAAAACAGCTAATCCAAACGGAGCATATAACAGACAACCTTGGCAAAAAACTTGGCTTCCAAAGGTTTTTTTATTTTTTCTTTTTAGCACTCGTACTTATATAAAGTAAATCTTTGCTTCAATTGGTTTTATTTTATTTTTGTCCCATAAAGTAAATAATTGAAATTACTTGTATCTTTTACTAGCATGACGAGTCAAATTTATCTCATCAATCATCATCTTCACCAATTTATCAATCATCCCGGTTTTGAAGGTAAAATTGGGGGTAAACAAAAAAAAAAAAAAAACAAGTGTCAATAACATAGTCCTCCCAACGCACCCCCTTACATCACTCTTCAGTCAACTCATGTACAACTCCGAAGGTGTTAGTATACCTCCAATCCTCCTCCTTCCTTTTTTTTTTCCTCGGGCCTCCGTTCATTTATTAAAACTCTCGAGTTTCAGCAACAATACATACATTCTCCAGTAATCTCCACTCCAAATAAAGAAGCTCGCATGGATTTGGATCGAAAATTTTAAGCTTCTCAAAACGGGGAAGGGAAAATTAACAAAAAAAAAGAAGTATGGAGCTTGATTACAATCCGAGTTACAAAACCATAATCAAGAAGAATAAATGGGTTTCCACGGCGGCCAGCATCTGGATTCAATCCACCAGTGGCTCAGCGTACACCTTCGCCATCTACTCTCAAGTCTTGAAAACTAGTCAAGGCTATAATCAGTCGACCCTCGACACCATTTCTGTTTTCAAGGATTTTGGTGCCAACGTCGGGGTGCTCTCCGGCCTCCTATACTCCGCCGTTACCAACCCCCGCCGCAGCAGCAGAATTGGGGGGCCCTGGGTGGTTTTGGCAGCTGGGGCGGCCCTTGTATTTGTGGGCTACTTCTTCATGTGGATGAGTGTTGTGGGGAATCTGCCGAGGCCGCCGGTGCTGCTCATGGGCTTGTACATGTTGTTAGCTTCTAACGCAACGACGTGTTTTAATACGGCTAATGTGGTTACTGCTGTTCATAATTTTCCTGATTATAAAGGGACTGTTGTTGGCATCATGAAGGTAACAATTTTCTTCTTTCACCTTCATTGTTACCAGCTTTATTTTTTCTTGGTATTGGTTTGGGGGTAATTCATGGACCTTATCATTCAAAATGTTTGGTTACCTCTGCAGTAGTATGCAATTTGTGTGTTTGTTACTGGAATTGGATTTTTACAATGATGGAGTAAGTGATCATGATGCTTTTGTGTCCAAGCTACTGATGGATACCTGCCTAAGCTCATCGAACGGATTAGGGGCCTTGCTGCTGCTTGTTTCTTATTAAAAAAAAAAAATGAGCTTTATGAATGCAGTTTGCTGATAAGTTAACGTTCAATGTGCTAATGAATATTGTTGTACACACAGATTGAGAATAAAGGATGATTTGGTAGCCTCTTTTCTGAACCATCTTTTCTGGCCATCTCTGGTTTGTGTAAGTAGTCAGCCCTAGTTCCATAGACGGATGGAAAGAAAAATGGTAGAAGGTCTTTGACTTTGAGCCTCGAGGAGATACAGAGCTTCAAGCCTATGCCCCATTACATCAGGAATCTAGAAATGCAGATTTTATTCATATCTGAGAGTGATTTTAGATGCAAATTTATGTCCGTATATGGCATATAAATCTTATACTGTTTTAGTTTGTGGAACACTGGTGTAGTTTCCCATTGCTTATATCTGGCCTTGGGAGATTTTACCAATACAACTCTCGGTGAAATGGTTTGTATCCAAGCTTGTGATTCCTAAAATTTGATGAGAGTATGCACAAAATGAACGGACAAATTGCCAGAGTTACTAATCTAGCTTGAGTTTGTGTGTTAAGGACCGCATTTCTAGTTTGAGTTTGTATTTTAAGCAAACAAAAGAATAATTCCCATGGTAGATTTAGCTGATATGGTGGCAACTACAAGACTATACAGTGTTTAGATAAGAATCGAAGGTATCTGTCGATAATGAAACATACCAATGTATTAAAAGCTATTTGCATCATTCTGTTGAATGAGACCAGACTGCTTGGGGTGGAGGGATTTAGCATTACGCCCTGAATGCATGCTTATATCGAATTGGAAAGTCAGTTGCAAAATTTCAATTCTGAAGGTACTCATCCACTGAGGAGTGGGTAGCTTTTGGCTAAAATCTCTAGATTTGAGGACTTCAAGTGTCTATATTTTATGCCCCAAATCGCGGGCAAATGCACCATTATGCTTGGTTAATATTATGATTTTTTTCCCCTTTTCCCCATTTTTTCCCACTTTTTCTGCATTTTACGGATAGTTTGGATTTATAATTTTAGGCATGATTAATGTTTAGTTGAGTGGGGTACTTCTTTTCTCAAAGGAGTAGTTGGTATTATGACACTAAATTAAGACGTATTAAAAAAAAAGGGTCGGGACTTGGGGCCTTCCACTGGTGTAGGCAGTCCGTAGGGTAATGGTGGTATAATTTTCAGACTCTATCTATGCCTTATCATCAATTTTGATCTAATCAAAATTTAGTGAAGTGTCAAGATGTGGATATGTTTGAAAAAAGAAAAAGAAATTCCTAAAGTAGGCCCTCATCTCTAAGTTGTTTGTTACTGATAATGAGCAAAATGAAGGGATGAATTTGCTCCATCGTTAACCCAATATTTTCTTTAAAAAAAATGGAATTGATATATTAAAATTTCTGTATACTCTTCAAAAGTAAGAGTTCATTTTGAAATGAGCCATTGATTTTATTTATTTATCTTTTGGTTTTCTTCTTGTCGATGGAACATCTTAAGGAGTTGCATTTCACCTAAACACAATTAGAAATTCCCTCATACAAATCATCATTTTTTGCTGATGGAAACTTGGTTTAGAAACAAAAATGAATGAGATTAAAGTTCCCAATTCTGATGCTGCTTATAATGCTTTTGGCTATTGCATTTTGATTGGGAAATTTTACAAATGTTAATTTGGTTGTATATTTCAAAACAAAATATGAAAATTTTCTAATTATTTTCACTTTTTGAGGTAAAAAGAATTAATCAATAATGATTAGTGCTTTCTTATTGTATTTAGATACATACAAGGTTGTCTCCTTTATGTGAAAACGTCAACTTCAAATATTTATTTCATTGCTTGCACTTGTTGATGTCCACCCACCGATTTCATGTGAAACATATTTATTTCGGAGGTCAAATTCACAAACAAGATGTAACTCTAAGCCCATTATCATGAATTGAAATTTTTAAAGGTGCTTGGGATAAATTTGCAAGATAAATTTGATTGAATAAGGCATCCTTGTTCATGAAAAGGATTTTAATATTTCAGCAATATCTGAAAATATTAGGACTATTTAGGCAATTCGAATGCTATATTTCTGATTTGGAACAAGTGTTTAGCTACGGTTACAATGTACATGATACATCTATTTGGACAGACTTTCTGGTTTTATTGGTAATTGAATTGGATTCTATTGAAAGCAATGATTATGTGGGTGGAAATCTACTATTGTGATATCCCTTGGCACAGGTTTCTCTATCAAAAATTCTGCAGCCACCTTCATGCACCATAGATACTTAAGATCAAACTCTTGAACTTAAGGTTTTGATACCACTTGTTAGTATAAAAGATCACGCAGTGAAGTAACACTAAAATCTTACAAATAAGAAACGCATGGGAGGAAACAAAATATTTTGCTTCAATTCACTAATTTTCCTCAACTACAAATTTAAAACTCCAAGTCTTTAAATAGAGAAATATAACCACAAATCCTATTTTAATTATAATATCAACATGACTCAACTCTTTTTTCTAAATCAACTATGATACCAAATCTATATAGTTACCAAATAATAAATCAATTTTTAAAACTATTAAGATTCTAAAATATGTTTGATTTAAAATATGTCAACAATTTGTGATATGAAATCCTCCTCCTCCTCCTCCTTCTTCTTCTTGCACATTTTTTAACAAAATATAAAACAAAAAAGAGAGGATGTGTTACTACTGGCTTGAATAAGTGTATTTAAAAATTACATGAAATAGATAAGAATTGTATATTCTCAGTCATATAAATTTTGTTATCTTGTAGAAGAAATTTAAAATCATTGATTGTACACAGACTAGCTAGACAATTGGTTGCATACAAATAATTGGGAGACAATGTGACTTAACAAGGGCCCTGATCACCGGCATTCTAAATCTGAATATTCTAATGTTACACGCAGTAGCACTCCAGCATCTGCTGCAGTTATGCAGTACTACGTAATTATATTAAATGTTATTCTCTTTTTCTTAAAATTATTATGACTTCTTATCATGTGGTGTTACCAGAGCATACTAAGAAAGAATTCCAAGAGAGAACTACATAATCACGCTATAGTTTCTCCTGATGGATGGAACAAAGTCGCATTGGTTAATTCTATTAGCTTAAAGGTTATCATTTGGCATTAGCATAAACGTAAGTAGTAAGAATGTTTTTGAAATAATTGGGTGCAATCTGCTACTAGTATGAATTCATGAGTGGATAAGGATAAGTTCAGAATATTCTTTACACTCATAACTGGGTATCGGAAAAAGTCAAGGACAAAAAGTTAATAGAAACTTATCCTCATATTCTTCTTTGACTGCTCAACATAGTCCAAGTCTATGCACGTGAATAAAGAAGAAAAATCAAATTTAAGTAATATCTGTAACTGTTTGCAATTTTCTTAATCAGATCCGGACCTATAAGAGTAATCGATCCAAACCCAAATTCAAGTCTAAATCAAAATCTATCCAAACTCATGTTTGTGTGCGTATCACTAAATTTGTAAATTAATCATATATATTCTATGGTCATTAGATCAAACAAAGTAAGACTTTATGACTATTAGATTAAAGGATACGCTCTTAACCTAACAAAACACCACTTAATCCTACTTTATATTGCATTCAACTTCTTGAAATGTTAATTTTATTATTTGAAAACAAAATTGGATAATATTCATATTATTTTTTAACTCTATATATTTTTAAAATATTTTCACTTAAATTCTTTATTGTATGTTCAAAAAAATATCCACGGACACCCATTGGATACTCAAATTCATGAGGGTCTAGATCTGAGTTTGCTTTTCAGACCCTAAGGGTTTGAGTCTAACTAAAGTTAATGAGTATGAATTTGAATCAAAAAAACCTAACATAGATTCTACTATTGACATGTTTAGTTCCAACTATCTGTTATGGCTTAAGCCTACAAAAAGAAGCAAGTGCCTCCTATAGAATATGGAATTCATAAAGTATTTTTTGTTCGTGTAAGTAGAAGGGTTTGAATTCGAAACCTCTCATTTACACTATCTCTCCCGAACACTCACTCACCCCTCCTCCAATAAGGAATAAAGTACATCTCTAGTTCTCCCAAAGAAAAAAAAATTAAAAAGGAAAGAAAAAAAACCTTCAAGTTTATGGTTAATGTGATTTTATATCCTTCCATTATACCCGAATTCTTACATCTGTCCATAAACTTAAAAGTGGGACAAATTAGTCCCTAAAGTAATCTAGCCCACTTAAATAAAATCTATCAAACTTTAATCTCTAAAATATGAAATTTGTCCCATGTTAATTTTTAAAACATATTATATAAAGTTAAGGACTAAATTGTCTCACTCTGAAGTATAGGGACCAAAGTGGGAATCGGAATACGTTCATAGGGTGCAAAGTAATATTTAACCGTAACGTGAATTCTTTTGTTATCTTTTTGACCATACTGTCCTTATCGTCTACCACTTGCTAATTTGCTGCGATGTATGAGTCCTACTGATTCACGAAATGCTGATCTGTGTGGGCAGCAGATATTTACACAGTATTAAGTGCGCACCAACACCGAATTGGGTTTCACTCTTATTACTATATCAGATAGTTTCCTGGTAGCTTTGTTTCAGGCCTATGTTTTCAGAACCGGACCGGATAGCGACTCGGCTGAGGTCAGGGGTCAGGGGTCAATGGGTTCGACCGGGGTCGATAGGGGTAGGGGTGAGCAATTACGGTAAATACCGATTTACCGACGACCGAAATCGATTTCAATTTGGTAAATCGAATTTGTAATTCGGTAATTCGGTCGGTAAATCGGGATATAGTACTAGTTAAAATCGAATTAGGTTCGAAAACGGTTTTATAGTTTTTGAATTCGGATATACCGAATTCGAATTAATTTCGGAATTCGAGAAAGGTGGGATTAAGGTGAATGGGAAGATGCAATCGAGCAACACTTCAGTCTATGCAGTTGGGGATGTTGCCGCTTTTCTAGTAAAAATGTTTGCTGAAACACGCAGACTTGAGCATGTAGATTCTGCGAGGAAGTCAGCAAGGCATGCTGTTGCTGCTATCATGGAGCCAGAAAAGACGGGTGAATTCGACTACCTGCCATTCTTCTACTCCCCGTCTTCACATTGTCTTGGCAGTTTTATGGAGACAACGCAGGGGAAGTAATTCATTTTGGGGATTTCTCGGGAAAGACTTTTGGGGCTTATTGGATTAATAAGGGTCATCTTGTTGGTTCTTTTCTGGAGGGTGGAACCAAAGAGCAGTACGAAGCTATAGCCAAGGCCACGAGGCTTAAACCGGCAATTGAAGACCTGGGTGAGCTTGAGAGGCAGGGACTGGGATTTGCTTTGACAGCAAGCCAGAAACCATCATCATCATCACCTCCTCTTGTTGCTGGCAGTTCTAATCTCGTCATCGAGAAACCATTACACGCTTGGTACGCAACTGCGGGTGTGATTGTGGCTGCATCAGTAGCAACCTTTGCATACTGGTATGGCAGGAGGCGACGAAGCAAAACAGGCTGCGATTGCTTCAGGAATTCGGACAATTCGGTCAATTTGTGTTTACCGAATTCAATCCGAATTGAATTCGAATTCGAAATTTGGTAATTCGAATACGAATTAGGTCGAAATATCTCAACACCATTTACCGAAAATTACCGATTTCAACCTACCGAATTACCGAATTCGAATTCGATGCTCACCCCTAGATAGGGGTCGAACCGGATGACGTCATAAATAAAAAATTATTTAAAAATTAAAAATTAAAAATATAATATCTAATAATATATTAATATTAATAAAGGTATATCCATATATATTTGATGTTTTAAATATATTTAACAAGAAAATACAAAGAAATTAGAACAATCAAGTAGCAATTTATATTATTTAATAACTATTAACAAGTTTAGAATTAAAATTATGAATTTAATTGAAAAATTAAATCAAATTTTAGGACAATATTTATAAAGGTAATCAAATATTTGAGGTATATCAATAAGTTTTAACAATTTAGGCGGTCAAAACATAAATATTAAAAAGTTTGAATTTTTAAAAAAATTACTGTTGAACCGGAAAAACCGGTTTTTTCCCGGTCAAACCCGGTTTTTGACCGGCTTTGACCGGGTTTTAAATTTCCGGTTTTTTAATGTGACTCGGACCGGCCGGTCCGGTCCGAGTTTGAAAACAGAGGTTTCAGCCAAGACTGAAGTGAGTATTTTCTCTAATTACCACCATCTCTTTTCTCGTAATTATGCATTTTTCGGAACAAAAAAAAAAGGTGTTGCCCCCGGGCATATGGCGCAGCGGTTGAGGGGCGGCCTTATGTTGCTGGTTTCCTCACTGACCAGGGTTCGATTCGTGCCCCTGCATCGCACATCCTGACTCGCCGGGAAAGCTGTATGGTGTTGTCGGCTTCCCTCCGATTTGGTGTGACGACTCGGGTCCTAAGGGCTCCGGTCAGGGCATGTTTCCGGGTTAAAAAAAAAAGATGTTCATCATTCATCACGATATCTTTATCTAGGAAATTTTGATTTGCTTCTGTTAGAAACCTAATAAAACCTAGAAAAAGCTTATTTTTCTTAGACTACTAATTTGTACTGTTAGGTCCCCCCCCCCCCCCACCACAAAAAAAAATCCATATTATAGAAGTTCAATCTTCGAGCTGATTAAACAAGAAATTTTCCTTTCTGTGATATTCTGCAAAAATAAGATGTCTAGGCACATGTTATCTTACGATGTAGTTACAACCATTGTAAAAAGGAAGATGATTGTTTGCTTGTTGGTTTTGAACAAAATAATTTGGTTTGGTGGAATAGGAAGATTCTGAATTATATTATATATACTTGTGTTACCTATGTTTGAAGTATGCAGTGAAATATGTAAGAAATGCCACTTGATGTTTGAAAATACCACACGTCTGTTTGATCCCATTAATGGCTCGTCATCTGCTCCATTATTTCTTTGTAAAATGACATGTCGACTGGTGTTATAGTAGAAAATGAACACACATTGTCAAGCTAGTCAGTGGAACGGATGTGAAACACGAAACTGAACTTTTGACTCGTGAGGAAACGGCTCCAATGATTTAAGTTATCATTGTAGAAGAAATACTTGCGTTTAGTGAAGATATTCTGATCCGCCCCGGCATTATGACAGTGATGGGAACAGCAGGTTTTCCTGATAAGAATCTCATTTTATTTTTATTCAAACACATAATAAATAGTTTGCTTGACATAGGCCAAAGGTTGTTGCTCGAGGAATCCTTGACTTAATTTATAGTGTTTTTTTTTTTTTTTTGTAATTGAATTATCGCATATTTAATTTTTGCATGAAATCGTCAGAGGTGGACAGGGCTCCAACTTCAAGAATTTGTTTAGAGATAATTTCAGAAACCTCCTTTGAGGTTTCTGACTATTTCACTTGTCTCCCTCCAGGTTTTCAAAATTATACAAACCTCCTGTAAGATTAATTATTTTGCAACATTTAGGTCCATCAATAATTAAAAAGTGATATTAGGAGAGAGATGATAATATGATTCCATCAAACCCTCATCTACTTTAATTAATTTAATACCAACCCACACATTAAAGAAAAACACTAAAATTTAATGTGTATCATTAGGGATCAAATCACATATAGTATTTAAAAATAGCGTATCATTTTATATTATTTAATATAAGATCCAAATTACTCTTCTCAGTTACATATCCATTGTCAAACTTGGTCAATAACAAATAATCAAAAAATTTACAACCAAAATATTATAGAGAACAAACTTTAACATCATAAATATTCTTGTCAACATATTTAAATTAGTTGTTGAGATTTTTATGGTATTAAAGGTCGCTCTTTGTAATATTTTGATTACATATTTTTTGATTATTTGTTGTTGATCATGTTTGACAATGAGTTTGTAACTAAAAAGAACAATATGAATCTTATATTAAGTGAAATATATATAATGATATACTATTTTTGATGCCATATGTGATTGAATCTCTGATGATAAATAGCAAATTTTAGTATTTTCTTTAATGTTTAGATTGGAATTAGATTAATTAAATAATTTAGTAGATCAGAGATAATGGTGGAATCATATTATCTTCTCTCTCCTAGTATCACTTTTTAATTGTTGGTTGGACCTAAATGTTATAAGATAATAAACCTTAAGGAAGGTTAGTGTAATTTTTAGAATCTGGAGGAAAGCAAGTGAAATAGTTAGAAATCTCAAGGGAGGTTTCTAAAATTGTCCCTTTAGTTTAAGATGTGTAGGCAAATAAATTTTGGACCTATACCCGTATATTTTGGAAGAATCACATTATTGATCTTCGGCTTTAAAAAAAACATATCATGCTTCATCACGGTTTATTATTTAGATGAAAACAATCCTCAAAATTAAATAAGTTTTCCAAAAAATTTAGATCTCAGCTCTGTTTGGATTGGCCATTTTTTCAAAAATAAGTTTTTCAAATATAATGCTACAATAATACACATAATTCCAAAAACATCTCATCCATACAATATATCAAATATTTCAAAAAATTTTTACTACTGCTGCAATAAATTTTTTTCAAAACACCCTAAAAAACAGCTAATCCAAACAACCGCGATATTATTAATTAGTTTAACCTTTGATCGAATATAGATCCTTGTTCAATAAGAACAAAATGAATTAAAGTTACTCCCTCCGTGTCCCATTCATTTGGTTATACTTTCCATTTGGGGATGTCCCATTCATTTTTGTCATGTTAGAAAAGTCAAAGCAACTTTTACACTCTCTTTCTAATATAACCCTTCTTTTTAATCATACATTCAAATTTAAAATTTGAATTTGAGGGGGTAAAATTGGAAAGAGAAGCACAAACATCATAATCAAACCACTATTCTTAAAAAGTTGGATTCCCCAAACATAACCAAATGAATAGGACGGGAGTATAAATTAGGTTAAAGATTTGGTAAATTTTTTCTACACTAAGATTGCATGTATTAGCAGGTCCAATATGTAGTCAGTATAGAATAGATTAATCTCTTTAATGCTTCTTTTAAGATAGAAAGTCACATCTTCTTAAGATATACAACTCAAGCTCGAACTATTAATCGTAAAGATTTTACAAACACTTAAATGTAAGTCTAAAAGTCAAAAGAAGATGTTTCTACAATTATGGCAAACACCTAAAGAGACCATTAAATAAGGTATAGCTCATACAGCCATATCTACATATGCATGCATGTGCATTTTCATTTAACAATGAAAGAGAGATGATTTTTGTCCCCAACAATTATCAGGCTGGAAACATCGAAATTGGACACCAAGATGTTGGGCGTTCAAAATTTATGTGCTTGTCCACATCGTAATTAGGACGTCTGCTGACACATAATGTGATAGTGATTCCACATATATTTATATAACTCTCCGGTTAGAAGGTTACCTCCAAAGAGATTGTGAAGCTCCAGGAAGTTATAGCTCCCTTCCTAGCTTCATAATTGCTCTGACCATTATAGAGTTTGGAAAGCAAAAGAACGCCGAATTTTTAGTACATTTAAAAGACAGATTCCAAAAAAAAAAAAAATGGGAATCAAATCACCAATGGATGATACTAAGTTGAAGGAGAATGATACTGGTGTCAAGAAGGATGAAGTCAAGTACAGAGGAATCAAAGCTATGCCTTTCATCATAGGTAACAAATTTATATGTGACTTGTACATAGAATTTTGTTAACTTTGTCAGCTACGGTATTAAACATGTGAGCTCTGCAGGAAATGAAACGTTCGAGAAGCTGGGAACAGTCGGAACTATATCCAATCTGTTGGTGTATCTGACGACTGTCTTTAACATGAGTACTATTAGTGCAACAAATCTCATTAACATCTTCAATGGTACCTGCAATTTTGGAACCTTGATTGGAGCTTTCTTCTCGGACACTTACTTCGGCCGATACAACACTATAGGCTTTGCTTCAGTGGCTTCTGTCTTGGTAAAATTTCTACCATTGATCTTAGTGTTTCCCAACTAGCTAGCAAAGAAAATTTTCGGTTCTTTAAGAAATGTTTTGATTTTATACCTGAATGCAAATAAGAACCTGATTGAAGATAATTTGTTGGAGAACTAGAATCTGATCCTTGGTTTTGTTTCCCCTTTTTGAAACACAGGGAATGCTCATATTGACGCTAACTGCAGCGATTCCTCAGTTGCATCCCTCTCCTTGCGGAACAGACAGCAGCAAATGTGTTGGACCAACAGCAGGGCAACTAGCTTTCCTGTTGAGTGGATTCGGATTCCTAGTGATTGGAGCTAGTGGCATAAGACCATGTAATTTGGCCTTTGGTGCAGACCAGTTTAATCCCAATACAGAGTCCGGTAGAAGGGGAACCAATAGTTTCTTCAATTGGTATTATTTCACCTTTACATTTGCCGTGATGGTATCCTTGACAATCATTGTCTACGTGCAATCCAATATCAGTTGGGCTATCGGATTGGCAATCCCTGCATTCATGATGTTCTTATCCTGCACTTTCTTCTTCGTGGTACGAGAATATATGTGATGGTACTGCCACAGGGTAGTCCCTTGACTAGTGTGGTACAAGTAATTGTTGCTGCAAGGAAA